GCCCGAGCCCGAGCCCGAGCCCGAGCCCGAGGGGCGGCGCTTGGCAGGGGACAGCGTCTCTTTGTGTCGCCCGCCCCGTCAGATGGACACTGCGGCGGCGGCCCCGGTCCGGATGGCAGGGGGACCGGCCGTTTCGTTCGAGACTGAAACTTGTCTATTTACTGATAAGGAAAAGGCTGAACCTACTATACAGGGCACATCCTGCGGAGTGTTACTCCGCTCTCAGGAAGGTCTTAGCTCTCGGTTCGGCTGGAAGGATGTACCTGTGTTACCCAAGTGTTGCCAAGGGGAAGGGGCAAACCGCAGAACCTGCTCCGTAGGCTTTCGTTTCAATATTGCGAACAGCCCCGTGTGTATCATCTCTGTGAATAGGTGCCGTCTAAGCAGCGGGATCGGGCAGGGAACTTNTGTTTCGCGGTGGGACCGGTTACCATCTCTGTGAATAGGTGCCGTCTAAGCAGCGGGATCGGGCAGGGAACTTTTAAATAGCTCTACATTGTTTCACTGATACATGTTACTTTTGTAAATTAAAAATAAGAATATATTAGGTTGCAAACAAACAACGGGGTAGCTAAAAGCTATTCTTCGCCGTACATTTCAAGCTCTTCTTTCTTTCCCGCGAGTCCTCGCTAATGATCGGCTGACAGCGGCTCCAGCCTCCTGCGAATTGCAAGTTCCTACTTGGTGTGGTGACGGCCCCCGCCTCGGTGCTACTTCTAGCCACTGAGGTCAGGGTAGCACAGTGGTTAGAAGCCCAGACTGTCACCCGACGGCCGGGATTCAGATCTCAGGGCTCCATATTGTGGCTGAGTGACTTTTGAGAGCAAGTTACTCAATCCCTCTACGCCTCAGTCTTATTACCTGTAACGTGGGGAGAATGAAATGAGTGCCTATGTTACAGATTTGCTGCGAGGTTTAAAGGAGGTGAGTGCGCCCGGCCAGGCGTGGCTCAGCGGTTGAGCATCGACCTAGGATCCAGGCGATCGGGGTTCGATTCCGGTAGGGCACATGCCCGGGTTGCGGGCTTGATTCCCAGTCGGGGGCGTGCAGGAGGCAGCCGATCAATGACTCTCTCATCCTTGATGCTTCTCTCTCTCTCTCCCTCTCCTTTCCTCTCTCTGAAATCAATAAAGATATATTATAAAAAAAATAAAAATAAATTAGGTGAGCGAATATTGTAAAGTTCCTCCATCACTGGCGGGTAGTAGGACTGTATGACTGTTAAGTAAAACAAATCTTCAGGTCATCCTAAGAATCAGTACTTCATGCTTCAGGAAAATGCCCATCTTTTCATCCTGACTAGGGTTTTGGTCCCAATCGAAGCCGTATTTCCCTTCCCCCTCTCCCTTCAACCCCCTTCCCCCAAACTGACTCAATAATCAATAATCAATAGGGGAGTGTGGGTAGGTGAGCTCGGCGGCAGGGTTTACACAGCGGAAACACCAGAGAGTCGGCCACAGAAGCTGCACCCAGGGTCCTGTTCCTTGAAGGACCACCTGGCCGGCAGTGCGCAGGCCTTTTCTCCTCTCCAGGGCTGAGGGGTCTCCCAAAAACAGGAGGGCCGGCCACTTGTCTGCTAAGCCCCTTTCAGGTCTGAAATGCTAAGATTAATAGCGCTGAATGATAGAGCCCCGAAATATTGAGTTTTATGGAAAAAAAAATTGAAAATCAAAACAAAAATGCATATATTGCTTACAGAAAAATCAATAATAATCAATGTAGACATGGGAAGGATACCGCCTGACTTACCTCCGAGGAAGGGGGCATGAGATTTGATGGGGAAAAGGTCCTAATTGTCAGGTTTTGTTTCTTAGAAAGGAAGACACC